GGGGGGGGTGGGAAGCGAGGTTTGGAATGCAGGGAGGGGCAGCCACGGAGCCGAGGGGTAGGGAGAGAAGCGAGAGGCTATTAAAGAATGGAAAGAGGCCCCGGGAACCCCATACCCCGCATGTCTCTACTCAGCCCAGGATCTCCCATCCCACCTCACTACCCATTCCCACACCCCCAATTCCCAAGGCCAGCTAGGACCTGAGAGATTCAGGTCTTACCTTCCTCCTCCTCCGCAGCCTCCTCATCTGGAAAGGGGTGATGATGCGAAAGAGAGGCATTAGGAGCTCTAGGTGTGCAGGGTACCAAGTGTGTCCCAGAGATCCAGGGGTCCAGACCCCAGCCCTCCTCCCTCAGACCCAGGGGTTAATGCCCCAGGTAGGAGATTAGGTGAATAAGGTGACCCTCTGTGGCTCGCTGCAGAGGACTCAGGAACATTTTCACTTGCTGCCCAGAAGGTGCCCTGGGAAGAGCTAGAACTCAGCCAAAGGGGGCCCTTAGGTCTAGACCCCACTCCCCCCACTGTCCCAAGGAGCCAACTTCCTCTTGCCAAGCCAAGATCTTCCAAGCCAAGATCGACAAGCAGGCCAGCCCACACCCCACTCACCTTCTGCCTGCTCCCTAGAAACATAGACAGGGAGAGAAGTGGGAGGGAACAGTTAGGCATCCTGCTGTGAGAGGGCCTCTCCACACAGCAAGTCCCAGCCCTGCCCGTGGCATCACTTACTCCTCATATTCCTGCTCTTCAGTGTCGGACATCCTGGAGTAACCTAGGGACCACAGAGAAGAGACAGGTGAAGATCCTGAGAAAGAGGGCTGGGCCTGGACTCCTAGGTCTGAGGGAGGAGGCTTGGCTTGGACTCCTGGGTCTGAGGGAGGAGATGGGGGCCTGGGCTCCTGGGTCTGAGGGAGGAGGGCTGGGGTCTGGACTCCTGTTTCTGAGGGAGGAGGGCTGGGTCTGGACTCCTGGGTCTGAAGGAGGAGGGCTGGGCCTGGACTCCTGGGTCTGAGGGAGGAGAGCTGGGCCTGGAGTCCTGGGTCTGAGGGAGGAGGGCTGGGGCCTGGACTCCTGTTTCTGAGGGAGGAGGGCTGGGTCTGGACTCCTGGGTCTGAAGGAGGAGGGCTGGGTCTGGACTCCTGGGTCTGAGGGAGGAGGGCTGGGGCCTGGATCCCTGGGTCTGAGGGAGCTATAGTGGAATCTGGACCCTTGGGTCAGAGTCAGGAGGGCTGGCACCCAGAATCCTAATCTGTGCTTGTGAGCAGGGAGGCATGGAGGCATGGTCCCAGTCTTATGCCAAGCCTGCATACCCTGCCCACCCCCACAGCTGTCCCCTTTTGTCCTGTGACAGGTCCATGGGAACCTGATCCCAGTGGGATTAGGAGATATTGGAAAAGGGACAGGAGCTGAAGACAATAGCTGCCACACCCCTGGTGCTATTTTGGGGGACTGTCACAGACAGTGAAACACAGGACATTTCCTAAGAAGGAATTTGAGAGCTGGGGCTCTCTCCCGCTACTACCCCGCCACTACCCTCTCCCATCCCAGCACCCTTGGCTGGGAGGCCCTCTTCTCTTTCCCTCACATCCACACAGGGATGAGTGCATTAAAAGCAGATTCATCTGGAATCCCTAAAGAACTTGCCTCCCCACCCTGAACCCTGTGATTCTCCAGACTTGAAGATTCCCCAGGTTGAGACCTCCAAATCTCGGTACCTATGGATTCTGAGATCCCCCCGCCCCCCACCCCAATCCATTGCCTCTGGTGTGTGGGACCAGGAAATCTCAGTATCTGTAGATGCTGATTACTCAATTCATAGTGCATGTCTGTGCACTTACATGTACTCTGGGTTTGTTTCTTTGTTTCATTGGAGGGGGATGTTGGCCTTGAACTCACTATGTAGTCAAGGATGACCTTGAATTGCTAAGCCTGCTGCCTCCACCTCCAGAGTACTAGGATTACCCAGCTGACCCCAAGGTAAAAGACCTCAGGATCTAAGATCTCCTAATAAAACCTGACACCTAAGCTCAGAGGCCCCATTCAAAGTACCCTGAATTATGACACCACCAGTTCTCATAGTTCTGGTGGTCTGGTTGATTTAGGAGATGGGGTCTCACTCTGTTACTCTGTTTGGCCCTGAACTCATAACCCTCATGCCTCAGCCTCTCAAGGACTGTACCACCACACCCAGCACTGATAAACCCTAAAGTTCTATACTCTGAGTCCCTTCTGGGTCCTCATCCTTCAGATTTCCTAAACCCCTAATACCAGGACCCACTGTGCTTCAAGCAAGGATAACCCAGCTTTCTGAGAGTCCCCCAGCCTCTGAGACCTCCACAGTATAAACAAGGGCACCCCCAGACTCTGTAACCCACAAATCCTAATCCCTTGCCATCCTAAATCTTTCTTAAATTTCAGGCTCAACTATGTGGTGTTGCATGCTAGTATATAATCCCAACACTCAGAAGGCAGGATTGCTTGCAAATTTGAAGCCATCCTGGGCTACAGAATGAGATCTTGTCTCAAAAAAAGACAAAACGAAAAAAGGAGGAGGAAGAGGAGGAATACGAGGAGCCAGAAGCTCCCAAGTTACAAATTTCAGATCTCCATGTTCCTACCTCCACACCTGGTCCCCACCCCTGTCCTGCCCACTCCCCCAAAGACACCAGTGAGGGGAACTTAGAGCCCCATTACCATTACCTAAGGCTGGGTCCACAGATGCTGTAGAGGGAGTCTGAGGCTTCTGAGGGCACTGATGCACCGGCTGGGTTTATAGCTGGATGCTCAGCCCCGCCCCAGGTTGGAGGAGGGGGGAGAGGATTCCTCTGTTCAAACAACCATCCCACAGACTCCAAGACTGCTCTGCCCCCTCTGGCTCCTGTTTCAGGGTCGGACTAGCTCTCATCTGCTTCCAGATCTCTGTTAGATTCCATCAGAGCTACCCTAGAGACTCAGCTGGGTCAGGTACCCCACAAACTCCCTCAAGGTACCAAGACTGGAGTCCCCAAGACTGGTAAGAGTACAGGAAGAATGCTTAATGACAAAATGGGGGGTGCTCCAAGTGGGGCTTCCTGTTTCCACCCCTCTGTGGCTCTCTGGGCCTCTGTTTCTCCTTTCTCAAACTTCCTATAGCCCCTGTCTCCCATCTCTGGCTTCCATCTGCATATTCTGTGTGTGATTCTCTCCATCTCCCCCCCTCTGTCTCTGTCCATCTGTCTCCCCCTCCCCACCCCCACCCCTTTGTCTGCCACCAGGATTCCACCGTGGTGACAACAGGCAGTTAAAGCTGAGAAACAGGTGTAGGGAGGAGGGGAGAGGATGGGGTGTCAGGCTGGAGAGACCTCACCCTCCCAGCCCCCCTCCCTCCAACACAGATCTTTTTTTTAGTATCCTCCAGCTCCTCCCGCCAACCTACCCCCTTTTTCAGCTAAGCCATGACCTTGAACTCTAGGGAAAGCCAGTGCCAGGAAAACAGGCTTCCTGGCCCCTGTGCCTCTCAGAAACTGTCCCTCATGGTCTCCCCATCTTTATGGGTTCGTTTGTGTGTTTGGGGGGAGTCTCTCTTCTTGTCTTGGGTTTTTGCTCTTTTTGGCTCTTTTCTTTCTAGACTTACAAAACTCTGCATGGTTTTTGGTTTGGTTTGGTTTGGTTTGGTAGAAGGTAGGACAAGGTCTCATGTAGCCCAGGCTAACCTGGAATTCAGTATGTAGCAAAGGGTGACCTTGAACCCCTTATCCTCCTGCCTCCACCTCCTGAGTGCTGGGATTAACATGGTTTTCTCCATATGTCTGTCCTTGTATTTCTGTGGGTGTATTTGTCTACAGCTAGGTTTCTGTCTTTTTTTGGCTCTGCCTTTCTGTGTGTGGGCCTGTATGAGTCAGGGTTCTCCAAAGAAACAGAACCGGTAGGATAAATATGTATGTATAGAGATTTATCAGCTTAGCTCACAGGATAGAGTCTGAGTAGTCCAACAATGGCTGCACCACTCTGGAGAGGCTGAGAATCCGTAGTCGCTCAGTCCATGAGGCTGGATGTCTCAGTAGTCCCAATCTGGTGCTGAAGGTCTGACGAATTCCAAAAGATCAGCTAGTCTTCAGTCCACAGCAGCAAGACGAACTCACCAGCGAGAGAGAAGGCAAGCAGCAAGAAGCCTGGCGCTCTCCTCTGCTGTGGCCTTTTATACCGGCTGCCATCAGAAGGTAACACCCACATTTAGGGTGTGTCTTCCAGCTTCAGATGATCCAGTCAAGAAGTTCTCTCTCATTTCAGTTAACGCCAGATCCAGTCAAGTCGACACCCAGGATTAGCCACACAGAGCCACATGTCTATCTTGCTCCTCCTGAATGTTTCTCTTTGTGTCTCTGCTGTTCTCTTTGGGTTTTTATTTCTATCTCTTACAGAGTCTCCATCATCTGTCTGCCCCACTGTGCATACATTTGTGTCGTTATTGCCCTTCTTAACACTTCTTTCCTTTGGATTTGCATGTACTGTGCCCTCTGCAGAGGAGACTGCCCAGAGTTAAAAACCCAGCTTGCCTGTGACCCCCCCAACCCTGTATGGTTTTGATACCAGCCCTCAGTTTCCCCATCTTTCTTATGCCTAAGCCCTGCGCAGCATACACAGAGTCACTGTCAGTTCAGAGAGAAAGTTTATTATTCAAGGCCTTTCTCAATGCACAGGTGCAAGACGAGGTCTCAGCCCTCAAACTTTTTCTTGCGGCCCTCCATTCCACTCAGTGCATCGATGTTCTTGCGCCAGTCCCCCACCTCCCGGTTTTCCTGAAGGCATGAGGTCAGAGGTAAGGGACTCTTCCTGGTCTCCCATCCCCTAAATACCCTCCGTCTCCCTTCTAGCTTGCAAGGCCACACCACTGGATGCTTGTACAAGAATTTGATTTTAGAGCACTTCCTGTCCCCCTCCTAAAATCTGGTCAGCTTCCCCCTTGTGCTTCCTGTCTCCCTCATGCACTTCCTGTCCTCCCTTGCACTTCCTGTCTCCCCATGCACTTCCTGTCTCCCTCAGGCACTTCCTGTCTCCCCATGTACTTCCTGTCCCCCCATGCACTTCTGTATCCCTCAGGCACTTCCTGTCCCCCCTGCACTTCCTGTCCCCCATGCACTTCCTGTCCCCCCTTGCACTTTCTGTCTCCCCATGTACTTCCTGTCCCCCCATGCACTTCCTGTCCTCCCTCAGGCACTTCTTGTCCCCCCTTGCACTTCCTGTCTCCTTCAGGTACTTCCTGTCTCCCTCAGGCACTTCCTGTCTCCCCATGTACTTCCTGTCCCCCCATGCACTTCTGTCTCCCTCAGGTACTTCCTGTCCCCCCATGCACTTCCTGTCCCCCCTTGCACTTCCTGTCTCCCCATGTACTTCCTGTCCCCCCATGCACTTCCTGTCCTCCCTCAGGCACTTCTTGTCCCCCCTTGCACTTCCTGTCTCCTTCAGGTACTTCCTGTCTCCCTCAGGCACTTCCTGTCCCCCCCTGCACTTCCTGTCCTCCCCTCAGGCACTTCTTGTCCCCCCCTTGCACTTCCTGTCTCCCTCAGGTATTTCCTGTCTCCCTCAGGCACTTCCTGTCTCCCCATGCACTTCCTGTCTCCCTCAGGCACTTCCTGTCCCCATGCACTTCCTGTCCCCCATGCACTTCCTGTCTCCCCTTGCATTTTGTGTCCCTTTCATACCCTATTGCCTTCATTGCAGTTCCTGTTTCCCCTCCAGCATCTCTGTCTTTCTTGTGCATTTCCTGCCACTCATATACTTCCTGTCTGCCATACTTCCTGTTGTTCTGCTATCTTTCCCTTCCACTTCCTGTCTCACTCATGTCTTTCACTCATGTCTTCTGGTCCCCCAAATACACTTCCTGTCTGCATCTGTGCTGCTTCTCTTCCTATGATGCGTTTCCTCCTTTTGCTTCCCTTCTGCACTTACAACACTTTATTTATTTATTTACTTATTTATTTGTGTTTCATATGTACGAGTGTTTTCCCTGCATGTATGTTAAGTACACCACATGCATACAGTGCCCACAGACACCGGAGAGGGTATTAAATCCCCTGGAACGGGAGTTAAGGACCATTGTTAGCCACCATGTGGGTGCTGGGAACCAAACCCAGGTCCTCTGCACGAGCAGCCAGTGCTCTTAACTGCTGAGCCGTCTCTCCAGGCCCACCTTCTACCTTTCTAAAAATATACATTCATTGTTCAAAATAATGGTTTTCATTATGACATTTTCATACATGTATATCATGTATTTTTATAATTTATCCTCCAAATGCCTACTTACTCTGTCCTCACTTCACCCCACAGGCTTCTCCTTCTTCCCAAATAGTTCCCCTTTTACTTCTACGGCAGATATACATGTGTAAATACACACACATACAAATATATAATCTACATTCCTTATATAAGAGACCTGTGATATTTGTCTAAGTCCATCTATTTTCCTCCAAATGCACAATTTCCTTTTTCTTTATGGCCGAGTAAAATTCCATTATATGGGGCTGGAGAGATGACTCCGCGGTTAAGAGCACTGGCTCCTTTTGCAAAAACCCAGGTTCAATCCCCAGCACCCACATGGGGGCTCACAATCATCTGTGACTAGTTCCAGGGGATCTGACACCCCCTTCTGGCCTCCACAGGCATTGCATGACACAGGTGCACTTATGTACATGCAGGCAAAACACTCATACACATAAAATAGAAATTAATTAATTAAAATTCCACTGTGTGCATGTACCAGATTTTCATTATCCTTCATCTGTATGTGGGCATCTAGGCTGGCTCTATTTCCGGATTATTGTGTATAGAATAGCAATACACTTCTTATGTCCTACCCACTCTCACAGAAACTTCCTGACTCCTTGCTTCTTCCTCTCTTCCTGATGCACTGTCTTCCTTTTTAACTTCCTGGCTCCTACTTCCATTTGCTGTGCTCTCTACCTCTCACTGGGTTCCCATGGCCAGCTGCTTTCCACTAGAACTCCCAGCACATCTTCCCTCTGTCTAGACTCTAAGACTGTTGCCCCTCAGACCCCCTCAACTATCTTCTTTTCTGGCCCTAGCCCACACTCACCTTCTCAGTGTCCTCCTTCTTCACCTGCTTGAGGTGGGCCCGAAGGTCCAGGGACTCCTTAGCCCTGGTCCCCAGCAGAGCCTGCATCATGGCATCTGCAGAGATCCTCACCCTTCGCAGGGTGGGCCGCTTAAACTTGCCACGCAGGTCATAGATCTTCTGGGTCAGATCTGCAATCTGGGGGGGTGACCATATGAGGTATGGAGACCCCTCCTCTGCTTCTCCCCCATGCAGTGCTTCTACCCTGCAATCCCCTCCCAGCCCTCTCCTGCTTCCAGTATCTAAGCCGCCTCCTCCTCTCTTCCAGTTCAGGCTCCAGGTTGAAGCTTCTAATCTTGCAACTTCATGATCTTCCTGATACACCCCAGCCACAGGTCTCGGATCTTCTGACAGTGAGGCCCAGCCATGCCCAGATCATAACTCCTCAGCCTGCACCTGAATTCAGTGCTCCAGCCACATGTTCCCACAGACACTTATGAGTCCCAGGCCCTGACTGGCATGTGCTGTCTCTAGGCTAGAGCCGCCTTCCCTAGACAGAGTGTACTCATCCTGCTCCCTGCACTCTGCTCAGAGTTATCCTGCATCTCAAGCAAAAGCAGCCACAGCCGTCAGCCTCAGGCCCCAGTTCTGAGGATCTTGACCCACTCTGAAGGTGCCCAGGCTGCCCGGGGTTCCCACCTCTTTGATGTTCTTGGTGACTTTTGCCTCCACATCATATCTCTCTTCATCCACCTTGTCCACTCGGGCATGGAGCTGTCGGCATAGGTCCTGATGGAGGAAAATAGGTGTTGTGAGAGGGAGGTTGGAGACACTGGAGACAGGGTTGCCTGGTCTGAGCGGGCAGAACTGGGGCCACGACTCCTGAGTTTGAGGGAAGAGCTGGGGTCTGTATCCCTGGATCTGAGGGAGGAGGGCTGGGGCTGGACCCTTGGGTCTGAGGGAGGAGGGCTGGGGTCTAGACTCCTGGGTTTGAGGGAGGAGCTGGGGTCTATATCCCTGGTTTGAGGGAGGAGGGTTGGGACTGGACCCTTGGGTCTGAGGGAGGAGGACTAGGGCATGGACCTCTAGGTCTGAGGGAGCAGTGCTTGGGGCTGGGCCCCTGGGTCTGAGGGAGGAGGATTGGAATCTAGAGCCCTGGGTCTGAGGAAGGAGGACTGGGGCTGAAACCCTGGGTCTGAGGGAGGGGAGCTGGGGTCTGCATCTCTGGATCTGAGGGAGGAGGGCTAGGTCATGGACCTCTGGGTCTGAGAGGGGAGGGCTGTGGCTGGAGCCCTAAATCTGAAAAAGGGCTTGGGGTCTAGAGCCCTAGGTCTGAGGTAAGAGGAGCTGGTCTCTGATTATCTGTTCCTGAATCTATGGATTGGACAGTCTGAACCTCAGGGGAAAACGTAGGTGGGAACCAAGAATCTGAGATTCTCTGATCTGGCAGATTTAAGGCTGGGGAGCCTGTGTTTTGAGGCTGTGCAACTGCGGCATTGCTTTCAGTAAGGACTGCAGTACTGGACGCCAGGTCCTGAACAGAACGGGAGATAGTGCCAGCGTTCCCGAGACTCAAGGGATGCCAGATCAGAGACTTGTGAGCCAATACCTGAAGTTCTTCGAAGCCCAGCCCAGCCAACTCCAGAGGCTGGCAGCGGGTGCTCAGAGCCCGTCCTTTTTCTCCTCGCCGCTCCTCTGCCTCCCGCTCGATATCCTGCTTTGCAATCTGCAGCATCAGAGTCTGCAGAACGGTTGGAGGAGATGGCAGAGTCCCCAAAATATAGGAATAAAGATTTGCTCTCGACCTTCCAGAAAGCCAGCACATCCAAGTTGTCTCTTGCCCTGTGTGTGTGGGGG